TTTTTTTTTGGCAAAGCCCTTTTCTTTTCAAGAGCATCCAAGTTTAAAGTTGATCAAAATAGCGAAAAGTTCACATAACTACTCAAAGGTTTAAAATTTATTGGTCGCACATTGGGGTTTTATCCACAAGCTCAAAACGTGGAACCGCATAAATGGTTTCAATAGAGGTGTTTTTCGTTTCAATAGAGGTAAGTGAAAAGCTCACAAATACATGTTCCGCTTGTCTTTCAGGATGTCTACAAAAAGATCTACAATGAAGCAGCATTCATTCACCGGGCCCGTAACAAAGATCCTTTTGATGGAATTGCTAGTAATACTCTTCACTTGCCGAAGCGTCGAAGGTAAAGTCATCTCAAAACGATGAATCGTAAAAATAAGATTCTGATATGATCATTTTCGCTTATACAAGCGAAAATGATCTCACAATAGTAAAGCCTTTCGCAGCCGGGCTAAGCGCTCTATGTCGGCCGCTTGGGAATTTGCTTTGATCGGCCGCATGGTAGATTTACAAACGAAGGCAGCTGTTTCACTCGAGGAAAAACTGTTCACTTTGAGAAATTTTCGTTTGAAAAATTTCCTTTAATTTAATTTAAACTGCAGAGAACATTGAAATGCTTATTTGCAAATCGATAAATGACTAATCCATTCTCACTGTTTACTGACTGAAGAAGAGTAAAAATGTTTTAAAGGGGTGTATCAATATTCATTAATGTTTATAAAGTGGTTAAAAACCTTTGATAATAACCTCGAGGATATAAAATCCACGACTAAGCTACTTACCAGTTTTAATCTAAGCTAAGAATAAGGACCAATAGTCTTCCAGTAAGTAATGAGTGCAAGTTTTTTGACGAGGCTTTAATATCGAGAATGGCTAAAAATAATTTTAAAATTATCAATCTCTGGGAATCTCCGGGAACCTATAAACACTGCCGGAGGTAAATAAAAGTTATTTTCCCAATGACATTTTTTGTGACATGTTTTTCTCTGTAAATGGTTTGAACCCAAGAGTATCAGTAGTTCGTATAGTGTGATCGTCCGGGTGAGTGTAGTTCTGAA